GACGTTCGTTCATCTAGCACAAAGGGAACGGGTTGCAGGAGAAACAATTACTCTGATATCTCAGTATGTTTCCTAGGGTCGGTGTGAAGTTCCTGCTGTTTTTACTGTAAAACCGTGATGGAGACAGTGCCTCCCCATACATATGTATGTAGTGTAGCTTCCAAATGACAAGAAACTATGTGTTCCCAACAAGCTAGGTGAAGGAAGGATTTCACACACACTTATCTCTCAGAACTGAGCATGTGGAGAGAATTTCTTTCATCTAGCCCAAAGGGAAAGTATTGCAGAAAAAACATTTACTCTGGTTTCCCAGTGGCAGTTTGAAGTTCCTGCGGTTTCACTGTTAAAGTGAGTTGCAGGTAGTACGTCCCCATATATATGAATGTAGTGTAGTTTCCAACTGAAAAGAAACTTTGTGTTCCAAGAAGCTTGGTGAACAAAGGCTTTCACTCACACTTATTTCTCAGAAATGAGCATGTGGAGAGACGATCGTTCTACTAGCACAAAGGGATCTGGTTGCAGGAAAACACTAACTCTGGTTTCTCAGCCTGTTTCCTAGTGCCAGTTTGAAGTTTCTGCGGTTTTCACTGAAAAACCGATTTGGACCTATTAACTCTCCAAATATATGTATGTAGTGTAGTTTCCAACAGAAAGAAAATTTGTGTTCCCAACAAGCTAGTTGAAGGATGGCTTTCACACACACTTAACGTAGTTTCCAACAGAAAAGAAAATTTGTGTTCCCAACAAGCTAGTTGAAGGATGGCTTTCACACACACTTAACTGTCAGAAATGAGCATGTGGATAGAAGTTTGTTCATCTAGCACAAAGGGAACGGGTTGCAGGAGAAACATTTACTCTGATGTCTCAGCCTATTTCCTAGTGCTGGTTTGAAGTTCCTGTAGTTTTCACTTTAAAATCAAGTTGGAGCTTGCATCTCCCCATATGTATGAATGTAGTGTAGTTTCCAACTGAATAGAACCTTTTTGTTCCCAAACAGCAAGATGAAGGGTGATTTTCACACACACAACTCTCAGAACTGAGCATGTGGAGAGACGTTCGTTCATCTAGCAAAAAGGGAACAAGTTACTGGAGAAACATTTGCTCTGCTTTCTTAACCTGTTTCCTAGTGCTGATTTGAATTTCTTGCAGTTTTAACTGTAAACCGAATTGGAGCTAGTACATTGCCATATGTGTGTATGTATTATAGTTTCCAACTGAAAAGAAACTTTGTGTTACCAACAAGCTAGGTGAATGATGGCTTTCACACCCACTTATCTCTCCAAAATTAGCATATGTATAGAATTTCGTTCATCTAGAACAAATGAAATTGTTTGAATGTGACACATATACTTTGGCTTTGCATTCTCTTTCCTAGTGCCGGTTTGAGGATCCTGCAGTTTTCACTGTAAAACCTAGTTGGAACCAGTTGTTCGCCATATAT